TTCTTTGTTAGCGCGGTAAAAACGCGTATATTGATAACCGCGGTCGCGATATTCAAAGGCACGCGAGCGAGGATACCTCAAGCTCGGCGTGCGCTGGCGCAATTTCTGTGCGCATTATACGCTACTCGAGACAATAGGGATCGTGATAAATGGGCAATATTGCCAAATAATTCTACAGCCTGTTTTGGAAATAAGAGAAAAATAACCAACAGTATCGGGATTTATGCGTATGAATATATTTTACGCGGACAATTGAATATTGTCAAATAATTGTCGTTAAATAATTTTGCGGCCCGCTTGAAAAATGAAAATAAAACAGCTGATGATTGCTGTATGATGTATCGCGTTTGTAGATATGAATATCTTTTACTCAGATGACTGAATATCAAAAGAGAATCATTAAATATTTTAAATCTCGTATGTAATACAGGCTGTCGATGAAGTAATCCCCTGATTGTTTCGAGCAATGTATTTTATTCAACGTCACAAACACATACATGCAAGAATCTATTTGCAATTTGCATTGACTCGAACGATATTTTTTAGACCCACATCCAGAATTTCATGCAGAATTTTGTTCCTCTTTTCATTTTGACTCACCGAAACGACTTGCAGTCAGAGCCGGCCACGTTCCGCTTCAACTCTGTAACAAAAAATTCACATTCGCTCATTAGATTTGACCAACGAGTGCAGGCGAGTAAAAGAGTAGTTTATCCTCTGCGATCGTAATTCAAGTCGAGCCGAAAATAATATCCCAGCTCTAGATCGCCAAGGGTCAAACAGAGGACTATATAAGTAAACTTGTAAACTTACCTTCAAGCCGACTCTGCTTGGCCCGAATCGGATCCTCCGATGCGGCATCCGCGTCCGCCGGATTGCTGTTGCTTTCCGCAACAACTGAAACAGAAAAATAATTTTCTCGATTGATAACCTGCGGTAGAGAGAGAATATCTTTGATCGGGACGAATCGAAAATATGAAAATATTTTGATACGGAATTTTTATCTTTATATTGTTGTTCCAATATTGAAAATTTATATGAGACTTGAAGCTTTCAAGAGAGCTGAAGAGGAACAAGTTGCAAAGGCAAAGAACGTAAAGGGTTGAACACAGATGTGTAGGAAACTTGTAAACTTTACCTTCCGACTGACTCTGCTTGGCCCGAACCGGATCCTCCGGTACGGCATCCGCATCTGCCGGATTGCTGTTGCTTTCCGCAACAACTGAAACAGAAAAGCAGTTTTCCCAGTTAATAATCTGCGGTAAAGAGAAAATATCTTTGATCGAGACGAATCGAAAATACGGATATATTTTGATATGGGATTTTTATCTTTATATTTTTGTTCCAACATTGTAAATTTAAATGAGAAATGAAACTTTCAAGAGAGCTGGTGAGGAACAAGTTGCAAAGGCAAAGATTATAAAGGTAAGGATTGAACACAGATGTATAGGAAATTTGTAAACTTTACCTTCCGGCCGACCCTGCTCTGCCCGAACCGGATCCTCCGGTACGGCATCCGCGTCCGCTGGACTTGCTTTCCGCAACGTCTGGAACAAAAATTTAGCGTTCCTGGTTAGTAAACTGCGGTAGAGAAAGAATGTTTGGTCGGGATGAGTGGAGAATATTCGCTACGATTTTTTTTTCTTTATTGACATTGAAAGTCTAGATAGGACTTGGAGCTTTTGAAAGAGCTGACGAAGAAAAATGACAACAAGAAGCGGAGACAACAGTTGTGAGCTCTCAAAAATACTCTTTTACGAATGGACATTTAAATTTAGATCCCGAAACGAGAGTAAACAGACTTGAAAGAAGCGCTGACCGAAAACGAAAAAAGTCGCAGTCTAAGAAGCGGTATGACGTTGAATATTCTACACAAGACCGGTATACTCACACAGTTGGGAATTATTCAGAATGTTTGATCGAGAACATAATGAATTAGAGATCCGCGTTCATGGACCGTTATCCGTCTCTGTCTGGATCAATATCTCTTGTATACAACAACGCAATAAATAGATAGACAGACAGAGATTAACGAGAGTAATTGCAGATTCATAAAGTCATGATTACTAGTCGGATGATAACGGATCGTGAATGCCGAGCGCGAAATTCCGACTTCTTATTCCCGGAAAATTTGTCAAACTGCTCTCGTTATCGGAGACTTCCCGCATAATAAATGATTCCACATACCTGGAAACGTAACGTATCGCTGCCGGCGTCCTGCTTCCCGGCTGCTGGAGTCCTTCGGATTTCAGTCACTCACACTTCTAATGCCGATACTTATGATTCGACCGTGCGGTTAATCAACGCGACGCCGACGCGATGGCGATTGAATATCTCGAGGATCTACGAGGAGATTTCTTTCAATTACACGAGATGGAAGTGCGTCGCGTACGGCTGCTGTTGATGGAATAAGGTCGAATACGCGAGGCGCACGAGTATTAATACAAAGGACAAAAAGAGTCGTCGCTCGCGAGCCGATCAACACAATCGGCGCGATGTAAACATTGCGGGCCTCGGCAGCGATTGAAACAAGAGAGAGACAAGAGAGAGACTTGCCCTTGGGCCTTTCTTCTTCTCTCGAAGGTTCCGGAACGACGAGGGAAATGCGAGGAGGCCTTTCAACTGTACGCGACATTAGTTTATTATTTATTGATTACTGAAAATAAAGAAAATTACTCTGTCGAAGCATCGGATATTTATTAGCTTTATGTTAATTAAAGAAGAATGTGTACGATTAGAAAATGTGTTAGCAACTAATTGTACAGAGTGTCAAAGTTGTTGTGACGCCGTTTTCGGAGAATAATTAAAGGTCATGATAGCGTTAAAGAGTGGAATTTCATCCTATGCGAATTTTGTCTCGTTCTTATTAAATGTGAGATTATCCGCTCCGGACAATAATTCTTCTATCTTTCATCTAATATTCAATGATGATAAATAACATGTAATTGCATACATTTGGCTTTTTTTATTTCGAAAATAAAAAAATATATACCAGGGTGAAATTTCACCCATAACAACATCAACGTGATTTTCTTTGATGCTTTTTTTAAAAGTTGAGATATTTCGTCGACTCGCGGGATATTTATAATCGAAGTCTCGTCGCGTTAATTAACTATGTGCTCCTCCGAGCGAATCGAATGTTCATCGACGGCCACTGTCAATGCTACGAGCGAATGTCCGGAGCGGACGGGATGCTGAATTGAGAAGCAAGACGAAGGAAACGGGACGCGGGCAACGATACATCATGCGTCTCTAGACGTAACAAATCGTTTATTATACAGGAGACTTTGATACGGTAACATATATTCGAAGATTTAATATTCAATACGTACTTTCATTTTTCCTGCTCTTCCCCCCTCCCCACCTCGCTTTGTTTAGACCGCCGGGCATAGTCTGGCATAGAGATGGCAACTGCAGTTGCAGCACGGACATAAATCGCCTGAAAGTAGATGTAGCACGGACTTCCACTACATGCAGATTTTACCACCGCGACCTGAAAGTGGATGTAGCATCGCAGTTCCCCTCTGAAAATGGATGCAGATGGCATACTTTCCCAGTGCGGAAAGTCGGTGTCGCAGAAAATGCCGTGTGGGCCACCAGAGAGAAGCCTGAGAGCGGGCATGGCTGCATTTATAGCGTTATGGGAAAGTTGGCTGATTCGAAGCGCCATTTGGGTCCATTTTTCATGGACATGAACTACTAAGCCAATGTCCACGATTTGTTGGTACTATTCCGTGCTATGTCCATAATTATTTGGTTCTGTACTGTGCTATGTTCACGAGCGAGCTAGATTAGTTAGATAAAAACGAAGAATCGGTCTTTGTCTCACAATTATTTGAAAAATTGAAAGATGCTGTATTCCCGAACCGGTCGAGGTACAAACGAAATGCAAAGTGGTACAAACGGGTACAAACGATTCTCTATCGAACCCCGTTGTTTTAAGGTATCTCAAACAATAGCGGAAGTACCATTTTAGCGTTACAAAGAGATATTTTAACAAATCTGAATCTGAATCAGTCAACAAATTAAATTTCTCATTCAAAAAAGTATATATAGGGTAAGCATAAGTAAGATAAGTATAAATAATAAATTAAATATTACTCTCTGAATATAATAATAAATAAATGTTTTTTCTTTAGCTGAATCATCGAAGTAAATATTCTATTATAAATTGATTTTTCGGATTACAATATTAATTTGATTTTTCAGAGTACGTTTTTAAATTGACTCTTCGGAATACGCTATTAAATTGACTTTTCGGAGTACACTTTTAAATTGACTCTTCTGACTACACATTTTTTAGTTAACTCTGTGGAGTACATATTTTTTAATTAACTCTTCGGAGAGAAGAGAAAAGAAACATTTTATATTTTATTTAAAAAATTGTAATTTTTGCAGAAAACTGATTAATGAAGAAAAAAATTAATTCACGACCTCAACGAAGATCTTAAAAAAATTACTGCAAGAAATGAAGTTATTATATACCATATTGTACAATATTAAAACATACGCGCAATAATTATCTATAATTTACATATATGGGCGTTTATGTAATTATAAGTAATATAAAAGTCATGATAAATTAATGTGGCCGCGCGTTATCTCTGTCGCGTCATTGCTAGAAATCATCCGAACTCTCGAAATTATTTTCTTCCCGAATTATGAATATAAAACAATGTGGAAAGGAAAACAAGGGGGCGAAAGGGGGGCGGCGACGTCTGCCTTACGATAACATCGCTGCTAGCTCGCTTCGTCGCGATTGTCTTTTCGCTGGTGGTGAGACAAAGACCGATTCTTCGTTTTTATCTAACTAATCTAGCTCGTTCGTGAACATAGCACAGAACAGAACCAATTAATTATGGACATAGCACGGAATAGTACCAACAAATCGTGGACATTGGCTTAGTAGTTCATGTCCATGAAAAATGGACCCAGATGGCGCTTCGAATCAGCCAACTTTTCCATAACGCTGTAAATGCAGCCATGCCCGCTCTCAGGCTTCTCTCTGGGGCCACTCTCTTTTCTGCTAGAAGGGGATATTTTCCAGTAATTTGTAATCATCAGGTTGGTTGACCTGGAGATACAGCACGACGGCGCAAGCAGCACATCGGCTTCAGCGTGATGGAAACGAGCGACGTTTGACGTGAGCCAGAGAAGAAGCAAAATACCGAAAATATTTCAACAATGGCGGACGAAGAACTACCTTCGGGCTGGGAGAAACGCCTCAGCAGATCTACAGGTGCGTTGAGATTGAAGATTTTTGCGGTGAACGATACAATCTCAGTTTTCAACAATCGGCGAATTTGGCCAGAATCATAATTTCGTCAGTGCGCTTATCACCGACAAGATTACAAACTCCATATATACGGCCGGCATTTTTTCCCGATATTTCATTCATACGATCAATTTGATACACTCGAGGGAGTTCACTCTTCTTTGAATACCTTTTCACTGCATTCTCGACACGCAATATTATTATATCGAATATAAATTTTTCATTTGAGGAGAGTTAATGGATGTATATCAACCTATGGCTACTCCGAACGACCGCGTTATGTTGGAATTCTATCAAAAAATAATGCACAAACATACAATTTTAATATTATAAGATAAAGAATTTATGTTATATAAGGATTATTGATTTATCCATCAATTTATAATATTCAGTTTCATTAATATAATATAACTTATCAACAAGTTTATGAAATGTTTATCAAACATCTTGCTTCATTTCATTTATGGTAAAGATTAGTTTTATATATAATGTACAAATGTAATAAAGCTTTGGATTTTAGGAAGAAATTTGAATTTCAATTTCTACTTCTAATATATGAAACTATTATAGGTCAACATTATTATTTAAATATTTATACCAAAGAGAGTCAGTGGGACAGACCTGATAAGCCAGCTGATCCATCTGGCAATGGCAAGGTTGATGGTCCAGAGGAAGTACAATGCTCTCACCTTCTTGTAAAACATTCAGGTTCACGTCGACCTTCATCTTGGCGAGAAGATAATATCACCAGGTCAAAGGAAGAAGCTCTTGAACTTGTTAAATGTAAATTTATCGTTTTGTAACTTTTTTATACAATCTGTTATGAATATGCTGTTTTTGCTATGTTTCATAAAATTATATTAATAATATTTTATAGCTTTCAGAGAACAAATAGCATCTGGTAAGGCAACATTTGCTGAGCTTGCTTCCAAATACAGTGATTGTAGCTCAGCAAAACGTGGTGGTGACCTTGGACCTTTTAGTCGAGGCGCAATGCAGAAACCCTTCGAGCAGGCTGCATTTGCGTTGAAGGTTGGAGAATTATCTTCACCCGTGCATACAGATAGTGGAATTCATATAATCCAGCGAACTGCATAAATCAGTTCTGCATAAAAAGGCTTGAATTGTTAGTTCGCTGGCAATCTCATTTCTTGATCACTCTTTCTCTCTCTTTTTTATAGGACATTATTTACAATTTGATCTTATATTTAATATCATCTTAATTTTATCTTAAGATGCTATGCAGAAAATGATCACTTTAAGTACATCCCAAGATACAACTTTTACAGTATCTTTCTCTAGAGGTGAAGTTAAAGTGATCTTAGATATAAGATCGAATTATGAATATTGCACACATAATCTTACTCAAACCGTTAAAGTATACTATAAATAAATAATAAATTGTAAATTTTTATGCCAATGTGAGTGTTCTCCCTACACTCACATCACACCTCATCTGCACTAATTATATTTTGTTATATTTACCACCAGAATTTAAACTTAACATTTATCTTGAGTCAAAGCACTTTCTATTTTTATCGTTAGATTCGTTAGTAGTTCGGTGCTTTAACGATAAGATAATAGTAAGTTAATGACATGATCGTGGAAACTATGAAAAACATCATTATATTTCTTAGGAGAGTACACACTATACATTATAATATAATATAGAAATAATGATATAGATCGTAACATTGTCTGTATAAAAAGAACAATGTTATGTTGCAATGTCATGCAGACAATTTATTATTATTAATAATTGAGTGAAATATAGCTGTTGAGTTATCCACTCCTTGGTAAATTTAGTATTTGCTAATATCTAAGTGTATAATAGATAACACACACACACATATATATATAACATTCTCAATGATATATATCATATATATATATCTACATCAATGGGACGATATTATGTTATCGGCGTCATATAAAACTACTGCTAATAATAGAGTTGTTAATAATGAAATAGCTGTTGATTTATTCGCTTCTTGGAAAATTTGTTATAGTATATAATATATAACATATATGTGTGTACTATTATACTCTATAAAGATATAATATCGTCTGTATGAAAGGAGAAACGATATTGGTTTGCAGCACAAATATTATTAATTATAAAAGAGTGAAACAACTTTGTTAAATTATTCACTTGGCAATTTCATTCTCTTGCACCGTTATTTCGTATATCATGTACTATAGATATTACATTATAATATTGTCTGCATGGGAAGGATGATGTGTTGCAACTATCACAAACTTGTTACTAACAATAGAGAAACGAAACAGCTATTAAGTTATTCACTCTGTGGCAAAATCGTTTATTATTCTTTTTTAATGTATATAATGTACTGCAAATGTATAATATCGTCTATATAGGAAGGACGATATTATGCTATCCACAATATGTAGTCATTACTAATAACAAAGGAGCAAAATAGCTGTTAAGTTATTTGCTTCTTAGTAAATTCATTTGCTATATCTTAATATGTAATATACATATAATACTATAGATATATTGTACTATAATATCATTTCTTTAGGAAGAACGATATTATGTTACACAAAATTCATATTAATACTAATACTAATAATGAAGGAGCGGAATAACTATTGAATTACTTGACCGTTGGTATATTTATTTGCTAATCATTTTATCTCATCTTACTGCATAATATATAATATACTTTCTTTACATAGATGTTTATTATACTATACTATCGTTTGTATAAAAAAAAAGGACGATATATTTCAAATATTTCTAATATCATTAAGATTGATAATGAAGCAGCGAAACAACTATTGAATTATTCGTTCTCTGCCAAATTTACTTACTTTAATTTAGTGTAAATGGCATTTTGTAATATTAAATGCGTCTTCCGATTCAATAGGCATCAAACATCTATTATGCAGTTAACGTTACTGTCCAACTTTGTACTGTTATTTATTTGAACTATAATTAAAACATCCAAAAAAAGTGTCATTCAAATATCTCTGATAACAAAATTATTACATAATATCGTGTTTAGTTTGGATATTGAAGATTAATTATAATTAAACTTAATATTTTTATTGCATCCTATGTAAATTTCCGTATGTTTCGGAAAAAGTAATTTTACTTTCTAGACAAATACGTGCTATACAGAAAATTGAATAAATATTTTATGTAGATTTTATGGTAGTTTGTTTTATATAATTAGTTAGTCTTTTATTTCTGATGTTTGATGTATTTGCGGAAAAGTATGTACCTCAGCATTTCTACAAACTATTTCACTATTTCGCACTCGCATTCGAAGAGATTTAAAAATCTATATGTATCCCTTACATATAATATTGAGGTTACAAATGGCTGAAAATATTGTGAATGATATGAAAATAACGAGAGAACATGCAAATCGCATATTTTCGAAATATGCCTTTTCCAATTACCATTAAGGATTGTAAGACGTAGTGTCGAAGCCCATTCGTTCATTAGTGAATGTGTTACAGACAAGAGAATTAAATATATTCGAAATGTATCATCTATATATCTTGGCAGTTTGAAGAAAACTCTGTTGGAAATAGTTAATTTCGAAAATAGATAATTTGTAATGCATGAAGAAGCATTTACGAATGTGTTAGATTATGCAAGATGCAGGCACTCGTGATTTTAAAGAATTGTAGTTACGCTATATAAAAACATAAATTAATGTATCATTTGTGGATTTACCATACTTATCGTTAAAATTCTTCATGCCCATTTATATAAATTTAAGTAAACGTTAAATGAATGTAACACAGGGATTCTACATACCTGTTAATTCTTTTATTCTATCAAGACTTTGGATTGTATCTGCCAAATTTGCTCGTATATTCTTATGACTTGAACTTGATAATTAGACTTACTTGTGTAATTTGTTTCATTTCATATTTTTTTCATAATCTGTGATATAATTCAAAGTAATTGCTCTAAAATTGTTTAGTTACATTACATATAAAATATAAATTATATGAGAAAATATCCACACACTGCTTTTAGCGTACATTTAAATCTGACGTAAGATTTTCGTATAATTGAAATTGCTTGAATATTTCCAGATAAACTTGGTCACGGAATGTTAACTCAGAAAGGGCCGATAGATTTGTATGGTATAATATCGCAGCGGCTCATCTATAAGGAAAACACGATAGTGACATAAATGTAGCATAATCAATTTTTTATAATTAACATCAATCTTTTTTAATTATCTCATTTTGTACGCAGAAAATTAGGAAAGGGATATAGAATTCTACACGGCAAAAAAAAATGTGCTGAGATATATTCAAGCGTAATTGCGAATTATGACTCTTCGTAAAAATTGTAGCTAGCAAAATTACATAAATGTACCTTTAGCGTTAACGTATAGCATCCTGTTGAAAGATACATGGATGGAATGCGAAAAAGATTGAAGGCTTGTAACCATTCGTAATATATAATCGTAGATCGACGAATGTACGCAGTTACTATCGTGAGTCACAACCACTTAGTATTAAACGATTAAACCGTTTGCATTTACTCGTAGGGAATAAACGTTATCGTTAATATTAATTTGACTGTCACTTATCAATCGAAATACCGTGCGACATTTGAGAATTTAAATAGAGACTTTTGGAATTTGGATCTATGTATAATCACATTAATTACTCTTTATCGCCTTATGATATCGTTGTACATGAATTGCGATCTAATTTTTTCCTTTTCTCTTTTGCGATGAAAGAGAAGGCGAATCTTAAATAATAATATTATTTAAAAAAACTATTCTATCGACTCACTATATACTTGTCAGAGTTTACTTCTATCAATTAACAAAATGCACATTAAACAATGTCAAAAAATAATGTATGTATACATTTGTAATGCTTCAGACCTTATCTTTTTTAGAATGTTAAGAATTGAAAAATTGATAATGTCTTTGTGCATATATTTGTATAACTGCATGTACGCATATTCCGTTCAATTTGTATCTTCACAATTTGTTGTAACGTTTAAAGTTTTTTAATAGACTTCAATCAGCGGAGTTTACATCTTCCACAGACACAGTTGCGACCGCGTTTTGTAAAATAGTTCTCGCTAAGCGCAAAGGGGTTAAAGTGGTCGCTCTACCTCGATAGAGAATAATGCGCGATACACCGATTACTCGGCTGATTCTAGCGCGTACGCACCTACGCACGACATAATAACACTGTATTACGCATTCTATCGTGCCGGTGATGCTCGCATTACTATCGCATCCTTGAAGTAGAAAACGCAATATGTAGTTTCGTCGTCCCATGCATGAGATCGTTGATAACGTATATTATTTTTCTTAGTACATTATTATTATTATTATTATTATTATTATTATTTTATAAATTTATAAATTGAACATAATGCTCGATCGTGACTCCTTATTATCATTTAAACTCATTATCATTTTTTTTTATTTTTGTATATTCGTAAAATAAAGAGACGATTCTTTTTTAAGGCGACAGACTTTCAAGTTTATCGCTCTGCGTATCACAATATCGCGTCGCTTTTATTTTTAAAAGAGATTTCGCGGGATTAAAAACTTCCAAAATGATATTCGTTTAAGAGGGTCGAATGAGGTTATTGATACATCATCATTAGGTGGAATTGCGAATGAAACATATCGCGGTGAATTACGTCAATCGCGTCCCCAGGTCGCTCGAGTGCGTGTTGATACGCGCGATTACATAATAATTTGGAGCAAGTTTCGCGTGGTGTTCCCAGCTGAGGGGCCCCTGAATGGCGGATTTCCTCCGACTATGGGGCGATACGGTTTAATGCGCGTGGCGTACAGCGTGCCCATTAATCGATTAATCTGATATGTGACCTTAAAGGAGCTCATCTATCAGTATGAAAAGACACGTCGAGAGTTGCGTGCAACGAGGGTTCGCGGTCGTCAAGGCGCACCCTTAAATAATGTCGCGCGACATCGCGCTTCGGCGATCGCACAGCAGTCGGTAATTATATATTTCTCGATTCAATTATTTCGCCTTGTCATCATTCGCGGCTTGCGACAGATTCAAATGTCGCCGAAAATATTGGAAAGTTCAAAATTTCAAATATACATTATGGCTGCCATGTATCGATACGTGATCGCGTTGATCAGCCGTCAGATATTGCTCTCAGATGGCGCATTTTTCCCAAATCAAAATTCATTCAAAGTAACCTAGCTTCGCGGCATATGCGCGCGCACAAAATTGTCGAGGATGGCGGAGACGCTCGTGACATCGTCGTTAACGAACAGCGTTTGACCGGCGATTTATCTTTTTAAAGTGATATGTATCGCCATTGTAGCAGCAGCAGCAGCGGAATTGCATTGACGTACTCGCGTGCGTGCATCTCCGCTTCAGAACGAGCCTCCGAGCGACCCTGAGCGAGTATCATTAACGCACGATCAACGGTTGTGCAAGCTCCAATTTTTCAACCGAGCGTCCCCACGGCGAACGGCCGTCGTCAATTGGTCACGACATCCGAACCTGTGGAAATTTGTAGCATGCAACAACGAAAATGATCCCGCGGATGAATCACCTCCCATCTCCCTCCTCTCATCGTGAGTCTAATAAATTGGCATTTTTTTTTCGCGCGTGTTTTTTCTCTACGCTTGTTTTATATCGTTATATTGTATAATGCCCTATCGTCGACACAGTTTCGTAACGAAACAATGGCGCATCTCTCCAGTTAGAAAAACGATCTTTGCGTTATTTCGAACGCGACCGCCATGTTTCTTACGCTCGTTGGATTTCTACCGTTGAATATTTTGGCGCGATTAAACGCTTGATGGAATTATCATCGTAGTGATATATGCACATACAATTATACGTGAGATGAGATTTTTCTAGTTTGCAGTTTTATTTCCGAAATTAAAACGGTATAATAACCTATATTTTCGATTGTGTAATCCTTAGAAAAGCAATCAATGTTTCGCTGTTTTTATTAAAAAAAATGACTCTTTTAGAATATGATATGTACGTTATATATAATACAAGGAACTAGCTACGTACATAATATATGTTGGCATAATATATATGGGCGGTAAAGTTAATGGCATTCCTAATGGCATATTTTATTGTACGTTTTCTACGTTTCCTAAATGCGTGTAACGTTTCATAGCCGTGTACAAAATGTTTTGCAAACTCTCTTAACAACGTATGTTACTCAGAATAATTGTATAATTATGTTTATTTATTCTGATCTACGTTGAATATCTTTTTTGCACAAAAAAATATTCTAGTACTAAGAACAGGGATTATTCAGATCTTTTTCCTTTTTTTTACAACAATTAAAGTTTGTTTTAAGCAAAGTTATCTTTAAAAAAAGAATACTTTTCCAATAATAATCTTAAAACATACTTCTAAATTTTGAAAAAAGTTCATTAACATGTACTTAAAAGAAGAATTCACATCACAAATTTTAGAAAAGCTCATTATTAAGTACTTGAACCAAAAAACATTTATTTGAATATAGTATATATGTTTCTTATGTATAATGATATCAAATATTGTGAAATACCTCATTTTTATTCATGAATGATCTCGTTCATGTTATAATTCTTTCCATGCACATACGAAACATAAATTATGATACTCTTAACTAGAAGAAGAAACAAACGTGTTCGCAACTTAAAAGTACACTTCTTTCGTAGCACGTTCTAAAACACAAATGACTTTTTTTATCACGCGGAATTTTCTTCAAATGAGCTAAGTAATGAACGGAAAGCATCGATATAATGCTGGTTCTCCTTGAAGAATAGAGAACTACATTTTGTGGCAACAATCACGCTTATTGCGGTTACATTACATAGCGAAACCTTATGATCCATGTAAAATATATATATGAGTTTCAGCCAATAAGATTAATACCTCTTCAGATTCTCCTAATTATTAATATATTTATAGTCATAATCGATATACTTAACGTACAGTTAAAGCTGACAAAATATATAAATCCTCTTTGAACGTTTGTTTGACAGGAACAGTTACGCTTCTCAAGGTCCTGATTGAAGATAATATGATGGTGTCTGAAGGGGACGTCTACGTTACAACATCTAATGAAGTAACTGTTAAAATAAATGAAAACAAAAAAAACAACAAATGAACCTCTGTGAGTATCAAAATTCTTGTATTCATATTATAAATCGATGTAATATCTGTCTCTGATTTGACAAATATTTAAATTTTGTAGCATAGATCGCGGTCCTCTCGCGCGTGCAATTTGCATGATTCGTAAGCACCGCATGTCTACTAGTAGAATTTCCGACATGTAACAATCTACGATGAACGCACGATCATGCTAGATAATCATGCCCATCATGGAGAGGTGGAAGCCGCCGACCAGCGCGGGGTGAGCGACGCTTGCGCTGAAACGCTCCCCTACATAAGTATCGCGGGCTAGCCGTCGCGACAGTATCGTGGATCGCGTTATCTGGCAGTAGCGGACCGGTGCATGTCCTAGGATACCTCAACAAGGTCTCCGAGTAACCAAGGCAGTCTTCATCTTCGTGGACTAGTTAAACGTGAGTTTGTTCAGCAATACTGTCTGCCACGCAATCGATGTTCTGTAAGAAGCACTGCTTTGTAAAATTTGTTTGTCTGAAAATTTGTTTGAATGGGCGAACAAGTTTTGATTGATCTTATTTAACCCTCAGCGTATCATCCTAGCATTTGCTACTCGATTTTAATTTTTGAATTTCTAATTGAGCAATTTTAACTATTTGTAAAGATTGATATTTTACGATTCCTATTCTGTTTTAGAGATTTTCTACAACGAAGAGAAAAATTATTCATTTTCTTCTAATAAAATAGATTAATCCTTTAATTTCCTACGATGTTATATCGAGGGTTAAAATTTTATTTAAAGTTGATTTTGTTTTTAAAAAATCTAACGACATGAGAAGTGTAATTGCAAATATCGTTTAGCCGAGAGATATTTGAAGGATGAATTAGCGAATTCTCGATAGGAACTGAAGTCTTTTTTTTTATATAGTGTAAAATATCAAAGATAAAAATTGTTGCGTTGTTCCATCGTTTTATAAGAACGTCTTGTTCTATATTAAACTTCAAAGTACTCGCAACAAATTATTCGGTGATATAACTGAATTTCAGTTATAACAACTGAAACTTTTGTTCTTTAGAAATCAACTGAAAATTTGGTTGCAAGACAAGAGAAATTCCGTTAGAAAGTTTCTGTTGTTTCAAAAATATATTCGGTCACTTGAACCGAAGGAGAGAGAACATTAATGTTGTCAATAATACGCACAAGTTTCATTCTTCATACAGCTAAACGAAGCATCCCTATAATTGAAGGGGGAAAACATTTGCGCGATCGAGTTCAATATTATATCATTGACAGCGTCATTTAATTTTTCCAAACGAATTTTTTTGGTTGCGGTAATTGAGATTTCGTTTCTCTTTACATATACGATAACGAATTCCATGCTTTCTGTGAGAGTAGCCGAATATTCTGCTGCAGTAACTATATTTTCGAGACCGAAAATTCGAGTTCCTTCGATTGAAAGCAGTTGTTGATGCGAATGGCTCTTCGGTTTGTGAAGCAGAATTTTCTGTTATTTTATGTAACCGAACTTTATTTAACAGAAAATTTCTAGTTATCACTACAGAATATTTTTCTGCATGCAAAATTCCATTTGTGTTACATGTTGCGAGAAACGCGGGTTAGCGTCTATCACAATATGTTGTGCAATGTTATTCAGTTTGTGATATGTGGTTCACCATACAATTATCTTCTCACAATACATATTACGAATCAAATCTCTTAAAGAAAAGTTAGGATTAATTGAATCAATGAGAGAAATATAACATTAAAATACTAGGACATTTTTGATAAAAAATAATAGTTATGAACACATTATATCATTAGTAAGAGAATATTTATGACGCAACAGGACATTGCTAAGAAAATTGAAATATATTTTCCGATATATTGCAAATATATGAATACTTATCTGCCTTCGGAGCGCTTTACATAATTATATACTGTTGCAAATTGCATTATTTTCTCACTATTATCTCAGCTCTGCTTTTCCGCTTATTTAAAATGATTCACCATCGATCATTTAACAGATCGACGCAGTTTCGAAATCAGTTACTTACGTCCCAATTTGTCGAGCACGAAACGAAATTATTAAGTTTAATCGCGGAAGAAGCACAAACCTCAGGCAGCGAAGGATTAACTCAAGGAATTACTTGAACGAGAATGTTTAACGAGAGAGGTTCGACGATTTCGTTCGCGATATAAAATTGGATCGTTCGTTATCGCGATTATCGCGTAAATTCGCTGTTTGACAAGGTGCATTTTCGTAATGAGCGGAGAACTCCTGCCGTTCATATGGTCAATGTCAAGGCGGTCGAGCCACGGCTGCATTTAATTATGTTCGATGTACTCATATATATATTTCCCGCAATCAGCACCAACAAGTTCGCCGCGAAAATAATTACATGGCCTTGGATGCGGTGCTATTACGAAATACCGCGCATAGTCGTGGGAGTAAACACACTCTCGTAATTGCATCTCTTCTTTTATTTTTTATCGAATCGTCATTTATTACTCGTTAACGCAAATGGATTCTTTCCGCGCTTGAGAAGTATCCCAACATGTAATTCGAAACTCGTGTTGGGATATTATTTCTCAAAAGTAATTCCGTTCGTGAGAAACTCGCTGCTTTGTTCTACTCTTCCTGTCCCTCGTTTTTCTTAGCCTGACAAAAAGCTCAACGAGAACGACGCTCGATGCGTACGATTTTTTAGTGCATCAACAAGTTGTCGAATAACGTGGATCCTTATTTGAGCTTTCAACGAACGTTATTATGTCACAGTGCACTCATTGTTCGTAATGATACTCTTGGTATTCTTTGGATTATTCTTTCGATGTGTCACCATGCATTAATTGCCGCGTTGCGCACACGCGCGTTTTCGCGTTCGGAATTGGACACGCTTATGTCACAGAATAAGCTACCTCTCCAAGTCGCCGACTTTCTGCAGAATTTTCGCCGTTCCTAATGCCTTTGTTCGTTTGCACGAGGAAAAACGTAGAAATACAACAAGACAGCATCCTCGCGACGACCGTGCAAAGGCAATCCACTCATTCGACGAAATTCTCGAGGCAGAATTCACCCCTCTTTCACTCGGCGAATTTTTTAAAATTAGAATATCAAAAGCCGTACACGTGTCTACCGGTGATCAAACCAACAGGATAATTTCATATCACGGATCATATTAAAAATTGCAATTTCACTCGTCCGCAAACAAGACGCGCGTGTCTTTCTTTTCTACTGCGAAATCGCCGACTTTTAAACCGCAATGTTAATTTTCGTAAGCTGTCTTATCATTTCGTGCGCAATACGCGGCGCGCAAGGTGATCTTTTGTAACGTGCCGTAAGTAAATGAACTACCTGCCGCCGACACTGACCCACATCGCGAGAATAGAAAAATGTCGAATCTCGTAAAAGCTTTATGCACCGAATACAGTCGTCGCCGCGGGCTTCTGCCGTGCGCGTGTTTGCGCTGTTCGAGCGTCGCGCTCGAGCGAGTAATTATAATTGTTCTCTCTTCCTCTTTGTTTATTTATTTTACTTTTCCTTTTTTTGGACTCGCCGGGTTTGTAATCGTGCGCGAGAATGCACGAACGTCGAGTGTAATCGTAAAATTGCGCCGTCGCGTGCTTTGCGACGACTTGAAGACTCTCGATATCGCAACTCCAAACACGAGTTCGTTAAAAGCGGTGGAGGAGATGCGCGCGCGTCCTCCCATGGTTTGTTTTTTTTTTCTTTTTCTTGCAAAAGTCCCTCGCAGTTCGCAACGGCCGTCACTATCGCGATGCAACAATACGCGCGCGTCTCGAGTGTTTACCGCGGTAGATTGCCGACAATTTTTAATTTACGACATGAAACGCAGTATGTTACACATTTGCATTACTAACGTTCCAAATGCACTCGTGCAACACAATATCCGTCCTCTTTGTCTAATGCCGCCCGCGACGATACGTTTCTGTCCTTCTTCTTGGACCTTTTTGTCCCGTCGCAATCTATCTGCATGTACGTGCGTTCACTCGTGGTTTCCTCGTGACAGCTTCGGCCGTGCCTGTTACGTTCTAATTGATTAGTTTCGAATCTATCTGGCTTTAGCGGAAAATACATTGTGTCCGATGAATACGCGAGCGATATTTTTCCGCGCGATATGGAAAGTAACGCACGCGCGTAGTTTGTCCACCGTGTAAAATAATATATCTCCCGAGGTAATCGATCATTAATGGCGACATGCTTTCGTAAACAAACGAGCCGGACTGGTTCTTCGCTCTTGACTCTAAGGTGCAAGCCTCTCTTGTTCCGCTCGAGCGCGATCGAGTGGCAACGTGCTATACATTAGTTAACGATCGTAAAGTTCGCGTAACATGCGAAATAATTGGGACATATAATGAGATAGAATGCGAGAGATCGTTATGGTATTTATTTACGATATAATAACGAAAAGTCAAAGTTGAAATGATATTGCAGCGGTATACAGTAGCAGTAATATACGTACACGTTGACATATTAATTAATTCGGATAGCCGATGCGATAAACGGCCGTGCTAGGCTTCATTAGGTCCGGTAGGGGGTCGATAAATGAAATGTAATTCATTACAATTGGTCGATCGCGCACGTACCGTGCCTCACATGCGAATCGACGTCCGTCTCGCATAAAGATCTTAACGCTCCGAATGATTGATCACGTCCGACGAGACTATACTCGCAATTATTATCGCGATCGCCGTCGCGTATATATATATATATATATATATGCATGTGTGTGGCTCGAAAAGGAGACAAAGGTTATGAAAAAAAAAACTAATTATTCACGACGGAAATATCGACCGCGTTGGAAGACACTTGTCGATCGCAGGCGGAGATCTTAAGCGGAACGGCGCGAGGAGAACTTTTCGCGTCACCCGGTTCCCGAGATTTCTCTCGCGTGAAGAGAGGCTGAGGAATGCCAGCTCTTCAGTAACCAAGGAAAACTCAGACCGCGGAGAATACTGAACTCGGTTTCGATCCATTTCGTGCACGTGACACACTGAACTGCACAGTCAGTAGGTCAAGGTAGCGCGCGCGAGGTACGCGAGGTGGAGGCTCGTGTCGACACGATGTGTACGAGCAGGCGGCGTGACACGAAACATCGGCATAAATTTATCGATAAAGGGCTATTCGCGGATAAGCCGCGAAAGGGGCGAGACCATGATATCCGCCAGTGGTTTCTCGAGTGGTGGGTGAAGGTGGGTGCTGCGTGACTCGAAGAGTAGGCATTACTCGAATTGGATCGAAGAGTGGAGAGTCAAATCGAACTCGTCCCTCGATGCATGTCCGTTCACCAAAACGATTCGCGCGAAATACCCCGACGAGGTGATCTCGCAGGAGGCCGGCAGCTATCTGGATAGCTAATTCTATCTGGACTCACGCCAAAAGCACGTCCAAGTGTAACCTCGAATTTTTCGATCAGCTGCGAATTCGCGTGGTAACGGCCTCGCGGCGTTTTCGCCGCTTTTTCGTGCCGCTCGAAGACCTCGTGCTGCTCTCTCTCTCTCTCTCTCTCTCTCTCTCTCTCTCTCTCTCTCTCTCTCTCTCTGTCTCTCTCTCTCTCTCTGAGTCTCTCTCTCTCTCTCTCTCTCTCTCTCTCTCTCTCTCTCTCGTTCTTTTGCTCTCTTTCTCGGCTTCTCTTTTTTTCCCTCGGTCCTCTTCTGCCGTACACATGACACACTGAACCCGCGGGGGCTCGACGCTGTGGGTCAACGCGTCGTCTACGCGATCACATGTATTTGTTTTCGCGTGTCACCATGGCGATGTAACGTCAGTCACAATCGATTGCCGACGTTCCCTACCACATCAGGGATTGTATGTATCACGCGTGCGATGCAGGACGCGTGTCGTATACGTAATAATCGCCTGCCACGTGACGCGCGTCTCACACACCCGAAATGTACGGCCGGGGAAATAGCGCACGCTCACGCGATTGTGTGTAGCACACCGACCTTACACCTGCCCGCCTAGATTTGCCTAATGAGAAACTAATGACCTGCCGAGCGAGGTTCGCCGAATTCGGGGTTAGAAGCCGTAGCCTTTGTGAAGTTGAGCGCGATAGATCTATCGAGAGAGGCACCCTTTATATTGACATTGCGTCGCGGACTTGCGAAAAATCGTTTCGAGATACGTCCGAGGCCGAATCCGGGCTGAAGGCCTGCAAATCCGAAAGAACGCGATCGAGATTCTGCTATGTTGGTGAACAGTAAACCCAGGGATCGGTAGATGGAGGATTCATGGTAAATCACGGAGTTTACGGTTTACTCTGTGAGAGATCACGGATCTTCATCGTACCGAGACGGAGACCTCGTGAACCTAAGAATTCACGAGTCGAAGGGATGAGCAGAAAAGATGCATTGTCCCGCAAGGAATGTAGAGGAACTGAAAAAGTGAGACAATTTCCTGAAAAATACAAATATCCGAAATAATCTCCCGAAATTATTGGAGTATAGCAAGTGTTCCCAAATGGCCAGAAATTAATACATCTATGTGTACTAATCTCGAGATAATACTGTTAAATCTCTTCGGGACGATTGGCATACTTCGGAAAATTTTGCGATATTATTTCAGCATTTGAATCTCGATATTAATAATTTTCAGGAAATCGTGTCAGTTTTCGAATTTCGAAATTTAGATTTCTCAGGATAATGTATGTTGATCTAATAGAAAATCTTTCCAATTTCCGGCTGTACGAAATATCGATTGTGTCGAAAGTATCTTTTGATTTTGTCGAAATCGCGATACGTACCTTGAGAAAATCTACGAGGTAAAAATAATAAAAATAGTGCAAATAATAACGTAGTAAAGATAGTAGAGATAGTAAGACAACGATGATTAGGAGGACTTAAAAGAACTAAGAAGTTGCGATCGCTTCTTGGAAATCTTTACGTGAAATCCAAACCGATTTTTACAATAGCGATGAAGACCAATAATACACGTTTTTGTCAGCAAAACTCGCCAAGATAAACGGCTTTGTGCCTATCAAATTCTCCGCACGTGTATTTCCAAAAGTAACCTCGAATGACAAATTTGTTTGCCGAGTAATTCGTCAAAAAGTGAGTAATTCACGAGTCTTTAACCCAGGATTAGCGTGTTGGGTTATTATATTAGCGAGCAAGACGACAACGGAACGGATTAGCGGACCACTTAGCGGGCGTTAATTCGCTGCTAAACTTCGTCCAAACCGTCGCGTTTTCCACGCAAGAAATTCACGTTGTCCTTCGTGTCGCATGTGTCGGTCTCCCATGTGTCCGCTCCACTGCGTAACATCTTCCCGAAGTAATGAGATACACGCGGAGGTAATTAAAAATCCGCGAGAACAAACGGAAATATCCATGAAAAAATAATTCATTTAAAGCACGTACGAAACAACTGAGATTTCACAGTTCGCCCTTCTTCATCTATTCTTATCCTCGAACCGAACGACTGAACCGAAATTTTACCCACGAGGCGTGATTGCAAATACCTTGCGAAATAAGGGTAAACTGCCGAGCGATACGGCTCGTGAGAGTACACACGATGGACTTACGTGGTGTATAATGCGAACGCGTGCTCAGCTCGGTAGTGGGGGTGTGGAAGTATAAAAGAGGGTAGACCCGCGTTCTCCTCCCTCGTCCAGTGGATGACGCGTCTCTTCATTGCCGTCGTAGTCGTCGTCGTAGCGTGCGTCGTGCTCGCATAGATCCGCATTCAGTACATCTGTCACTCACACGCGACACTATTTTTGCGAGTGTCTCTTGTACATCATCGTCGTGGTCGCCGGCATCTTATTGCACCGGCTTATTGCATCGCCGCTAACCGCATCCATCAGCGCGCCCGTCAGTACCTCCGCTCGCTGCTTAAGCGTCACCCTCGCGAATGAACAACTCCGTTCACCAGCGGCGACAAAGAAAGTCGACGTAGCCAAGGTATTTCCTTTATCTTAGATTCGCATTACATTATTGACTCGCTGCGTCGGAAAGAATATTGTAGGTGAATCAAAGGGATAGAATGGAAGTGAGACGAAGGATTGTTAGAGCGGGCTGGACGGAAGAAAAATTCGAGCTTCGTCTCGAAGCGAGTCAATGCTGTCATGACAAATATTGCTCCATCTAAGCACGGACGTGTGATGGAAATTATAACCTGAAACGTGTATCCACTCTGTTCATATCTTTTCACGCCGTTTTGCATAATAATTCTTTTACTCGGAAAAATTATTCTCGTGGATGACATAAATGCAGCTGTCTGAACAAATAACAGAGAGGCGAACTTTATTTTATTCGTACGACTCATTACTTTTTCTTTTAATCCTTGACGCATAATATCCTGTTACGAGTTTTTATAGTGACGTCAATTATGTTACATATACGGATCGGAATAATTGCCATATTTCATCATACACTACTAGCGTTACCACAATTTGCAATTGTATGTATATGTCTGAATACATATATACGGTGTATAATTGTTAAATTACGCACGCCGAGCGGTGTACATAATAATTTGAAAAACACTTGAAACGACATTGTTACCGGCTTATTTCCGTAAAAAAAGACAAAGGGAAATCCCAATGAGTCGAAGTTGAATCGTTAAATTGTCTAACGACTAATATACTTTGAGGATAATTCTTTGAATTGTCCGATGCCGCGGCTCTCTGCCGGGATTTATCCTTGGGACTTCAGGAAGCTCGAGTACAAACAACCTCGCAATCTAGTTGTAATCGCAGGATGTCGTATAAGGATATACGCGCGACTGAAACGCCGCTTCTAAAGGAATCCGGATTCCATGATTCAAACACTCTGAAGTCGAGAAGCCTGGCTTATGTGGCATCCAGGATCTAAAAGTTGCCGATATAAAGGACGTACAACTGAGGAATACTAAAATATAAGATGAATTTAGAACACGCGGAAGCTTGAATATAAGGATTCTACGGTACAAAGGATTCGACATAAAGATGATACATAAAGATGATACAAAAATCTAGAATTTAAAATCCAAGGAAGCCGTAACGCTCGCAAAAATGTCCGAATTCGCTCAAAGCTCAGGCTTTGAAGTGCGTGGGATGTACGACTTTATGAAAATTTAAGGACGCGAGAAGACTGCAGCAGAGGTGTCATTCATTCCGCGAGACGAGATTAGTGGGAGATGAAAAGCGGCGAGTTAACAATAAATAAACGCGCATAACTCCGGAAAGTTAAGTCGGCGAGCATTTATACAAGTGCGGCAGTCTTATAGCGAATTCAGTTGTTTGCACTAGTGCGCACTGAGTGCCTATTAAAGCTCGTTCGTTGTTCACCCTTATATTTCAAATCGTGTTAAATACATCTTTAAATATTTTCTCGCCAGTAAAACGGTCTATATGGCATCCATTCCGGATCATTTTGTTGGCCAAAAAATATTTAAAGGTGTATTTAACACGATTTTAAATATAAGGATGAACAATGAACGAGCCTCAATAGGCGTTCAGTGCAAGCAGTGCAAGCAGTGCGCACTAATGCAAGCAACCAAATTCGCTGTTAGATTTCTTACAAGAGAACGTGTCTAACAATAAGAATCACGTCTGGCAATGTGACTCTACGTTGCCCAAGCGTATTTGAGCTTCTATCATTAGCTTCCGTCATATCGACTAAGATCGTAAAATGAGAAGCAGCTAATGTAATGCACCGGCTGCATTTCGCAAACGCAAACGCATCCATGATGCTATAACTCTCTCGCAACTTAATCTTTATAAATATAAAATATAAAATATAAAATATTACATTAGATATTAAATTTGCTCACACGCATACATATACGTAGAAATTCCATTCGATTGGTCAATCGGTCAAAAACTCACAATATTTTAAAAATCAACATATGAAACAAATGACAAACGATATAAGTAAGACGAATATACGAGTTGTAATAGAATGAATAACAATGTAAATATTTTATTACACAAAATATTATACAAATGTTACATTACACAAAAACTACGAGTATATATTTAGGTAGGTTGATATATTCATTGATCGCGATAGGTGACATTTTTTCCCAACCATACTATTGGCACACACACACACACACACACATATATTATTCTTGTAGATCACGTGTACTTGGCAAGGATACGCGTGTTACTATCCGTCATGCAGCTTAATTAGTACATCGTGAAATACAGAGGCACTTGTCTATATATTTCTTGTATACATAATTGATAACACGTTTTTCGTCGGCGAGTAAAGTGAGTCGCATCGCTCATTACGCCTGCGATCATATCGGTTTGAATTCCTGAATTCCTGGTTCTCGGAGAGAAACATAAACGAAAATTGCAAAAGCCGTTTGATATGTGTGTTTCGGATATAAATTTCCAACTGTGGCTCTCAATAGTATGTCATTGTCGTTTGATCTTTGAGATCGTATTGTCTCTATGTAAATTATACTTATATGCTAATTAACAATTCTAGATCTTAAAGCAATTCATCGCATGTACAAAGATAAAAAGTAGATGCTCTCTCATTTTTGAATTTTGAGGAAACAATTATTTATTCCCGATGAAATTATTTATATAAATGATATTCTCCTTGGCTCAATAATATCATTTTGCGTCAGTTTATTATTTTTACGCTAATGAAAAGAGGAAATGGCATCCTTGGCAGTGAGGGTCGTGTTCGCAGAGAACGCCCTTGATGATGCGCCGGAAATACTTGACACTGCGATTGTTCGCTCGACCCTGAACAGCAACAAATAGTACATTCCGGAAACTTGGCACGTTACCGGACCGTTGCACCCGCAACCGATATTTATATGACGCCGACAGACGGCGGAGCAGATTTTTCAACGGAGCGCAGTTTGCGGGGGAGTATCAGCTGTTTACAAACATTTTCAATTTTCGTAAAATGCACATATCAACAAATCTCGAAATTTGGATCTCGATCAAAGTGTCGCAAACGCACGAACATGATTTCGAATCTGTATAAATAATTTGTAAAAGATATAATGCTTGATTTTTGAGCTGCGAAATAATTTTCAAATTTTATTTATTTTTTTTTCTTTTACGTCAAGATTCTCATAATACAGTGATCCTCATAAAAGCGTGCAATTCACTTGGTTACTTCGCTAGAAATCTTTGACGCTAGAAATCTTCGACGAAGTCCAGAGAGTATCTCTAAATTCCTCAAACGCACTAGCGGCCTCCTTTCCTTTCCGGCTGACGATAATTAACGCTCTTGATTGACTTGCGTGGCTTCTTTTCAATTTGGTCCACCGGCTGCGAAGCTCAGCGTGAGACCGCTCATCTGAGGATATATCTACGAAACCTGCCGAACGAACAACCAGCGTCGGAAATTCCGAGAATCTATGGAATAGAGCATACAGGATCGTTTTTATAGCACTGAAAATGCATGTAACACATAATTCTTTATTGAAAGAAATATATTAATATATGAACAAATTGAGGCGACGTGCGACCGAGAAAAATCGCATGAAGCGAGAATGTCGCCTCGAAATAACGTACACGCATATTACCTACGATTCATCGTCGGATATTATAAATATTAAGCGTCGAACGATTGAAATGTCGATTACAACTAGGTTGCAGCTAGTCGCTATTTTTGCGATGAACATAAAATCCGCGTGTACATTTACGCTACATGTTTTTGCGAAGGAGTCTCTGCCCGCGCGCGCGAATAAATATGAACCAAGCCTGTATATCTGAATTATTTCACGGAAAATGCGCTTCATATGCGGGCGCTTTGATTTTACGTACGCTTTATTCGTAATTGTACATACAGAGTGTTCCAAAAATACATTTGACAACGAATGCTCTTTTCTGACAATTAATTTCTCAATAATTACAATATTTTTAATATCTTTTACTCCGGAATTTTGTCTTAATCCATCATATTTAAATATGCCCAATATGCTGAATGATTTCATAATTTACTAAAATCAAGATAATTCGTAGTTTTGAAAACTCCGATAAATTATTTACCAAGGGAAAATGGAATATAAATCGCACGAACTCAGTCGGTTAAAATTTATGATTATGTCAACATCTCTTTCGACCATTAACGCAAATATATCAAAAATCTATATATTGTCGATGTACATATATATGTATACTCGGTCGTATATAGTAAGTCAAAGTCGCATAGTCGTTAATAATTCAAGCAACATTGTGTATCGATTTATCATACCTGTATTACTTATTCATTCGATCTCAATCTCGATAATTAGCTACATCAACGTTAGTCCGGCGGACTAACGAGCTATCACATACCATTCTACTAATCCCCAAACAATGGAACGAGGAGGTGTTGGAACACACCCTGGTCTCACGACACCCTGTATAAGACATCGATCTCCCTGCTTGTCGTGTCGACATCGCGAAGCGCAACTCGCAAAAGCGCGATATATTTGATTTCCGCGAGCAGATATATTCGAATGAGGTTAAGTCCTTAAATGAAGGATCTATATAAGGACCATTGACGGATAGAGTATAGGTCAGTAGAACGCTCGAGCCGCCTTCGTTTGTTTGTACTTTATCGCGCGACCGTAATTCGTAACGTTGCGCGCGGGAAGAAGCAAAAATGCACGAAACACTCTGTAATCGACGTAGAGATCTGTCTTTCGAGAAATGTTACCAATAACGCGCTCATCAACGTGCACCATCTCATCCCTCGTTATCGCTGTCGTAATTTCTAGCGGTAATTTCCAGCTGGTTAGTCCAACTTTACCAGAGAAGTAACGCATTCGAGAAACAAAAAGAAAATAGATTTAGTTGAGATAACATTAACTTCTAACCAAACGAAACGACACAAATTTCTAATGACGAAATTGTTAACATTATATGTTTTCGAGTAT